AAAAAACATCACGGTCACATGGGTAGCAAACAGCGGGTGAAAGTCCAGGATTTGTTGGATCAATCAACCACCCCTCCCACTGCCCTATAGGTACTTCATAGCTCTTTATATTACGTCATTAACGGCAGCATTTCAATCTGACGCCATCCTGCAGTGTATCATACTGGTGCGACAGGTGCTGTCCAGCTGAACAGTGACATGTCAAAACAGCATGAAAAGTTCCATTCGGCCGCTTTACAAACTGACGCTGCCCAGCCATGTATCACCAGGCCGTCAGGGGGGGCCTAAGGGTACAGATGACTCCGGCCCAAGAGGCGGGGAGGTCATGACAAGCATCAAGTACAACAATTTATGTACTGACTTATATCACTGACAATACAAGTTATGTGTATTTACAAGATAAATAAATGTATTATTATTATTAAAACACATTTCAACATGCCATCTGATGCTCCCACCCCCTACACGTATTGTGAACTGGTGTAGTCTATCTGACAGTGGGGGTCAGATGCACAATGCAAAGAACTGCTAATTTAAACATGTGAGGTGGACTGCAACCTGACTAGCTACGTCAGAAAGCCTCACCAAATATCAGGGACCACTAAAGGAAAAGTCAGGGTACAGGGAGAACAAGACAATGAAAGGAGCAAAGAGGTGATGGATGAAATGGAAAAAATCATGTCAAGGCACAGCAGGTATGACAGACAGAGCTGCAGGTGAGGAGTGAGGCAAATAAACCCTACTTTATCAGACTTGATAAGGACACTGGTATCTTATTAAACTTGAGGACCTAAGGCATCCATTGGCACTAACCATGTTAAGCTATCTTGTCAGAACGGGGGCCAAATAACACTGCAAAGTTACTCTAAATCTTGGCGAGGGAAAAATGAACAAGGTCATTTTTCAAAATTATTTCTGCATACTAGGGCCCCTAAACAGTCCTACAAGTACATAAATTGTATATGACTGGAAAAGTGAGACTTGACAGCCATATACTCTTTACACTATTTCAGTTTTGCACACAGTTGACCAATATCTAATTAAAGTGTATCATCAGTCATGATTTGATCCTATGATGTAACAATACCTTCAAGAAAAATAAAATAGGGGCTTTTTTAAGTTTCCCTCTTTTTTAAGAGAGTTGTGTACGTTGTCCAAAACTGCATAGGCTACCACTCAAACCCCCAGTGTAGCGGATTTTTGACCATATTTACAAAATAGTCTAAGGGTCAGGAAAATAATTATTCAGACCTCCTCCTCCTGTAACTGACCCCTGACCTCTGTCTTTATTGTAGCCAGAAATCTGTTTCAGTCTAAAACTACATTCAAACCCCTCTCATTTATAAGCTGACAATCCAACACTCTACCTTTTAAGGGGCACCTACATGAAAATTAGGGCTGGGGAATATTTTGATATTATAAAGATTATCATGATATGAGGCTAGATATGGTCTTTGATTTTGGATATGGTAATATCCTAAGTGTTGTCTTGTCCTGATTTTAAAGGCTGAATTACAGTAAAGTAATGTAATATTCTGAACTTACCAGACTGTTGAAGCTGTTCTATTATTTGCCTTACCCGCTGAATCATGCTATCCACACTACTGATAATTATTCATCAAAAAATCTCATTGGGTAAATATTTTGTGACACATATTTTGTCTACAGTCAACACTGCAATATTGTTGCATTATTGATATTGAGGTATTTGGTCAAAAATATTATTTGGTATAATGTCTTCTGTGCCTCTGGAAAATAGCCCCTTACAGTGTCATGATGATGTATTTAGGGTTATCTAGTCTGATAGACTCGAGGTCTCACTTAAAGCCACTGCATACTAGGGCTGTCAAAATTGCTCAAAAATGACGTTCAAATATTCCTTCTAAAAATAACTCATAGGTTCGAACCATTCGAATTTTTTTTTTTTCGCATTATGTCCACAAGAGGGCAAACTAATACAAGGAAACATACTTGAAAATGTATTAATACAAGGAAACATAACTACCTGTAGGTATTTTTATTTCAACATAAACGTCTTTGAAAACATTTACATACCTACACATTAAAACAACATAAAACAATTATCTATAACGTTACGTTATAAACAACCGCGGACATCTCGCTCGCCCCCCCTCTCTGACCCATGGCCACACTGCCCATGTTAACCGATTGTGTCATCCACACCAGCTGCGCCGCGCCGCACAGCTCCGTTTCGGCGTCTGGTCTATTTTCTGCACGAGCCACAAGCAAATGTGTCAAGCCGGGGGGTGACGGAGACAACAGCTGGGAGCAGAACCTCTTGTTGACCAACAGCACTTCCACGGGCGGTGTGGCCCTGGCGTTTATGCAGTGGATTCAGTGCAGCGGCCCAGGCCAACACACACTCGCAAAGAGGACAGCTGCAGTGGTGTTTTTTTTTCCTCCACAATCGAATATCAATTTTCACATTCGAAGGTCCATTTTTTTTTCAAATTCAAATTTAAATTCGAATTTAGAATATTCGTTGACAGCCCTACTGCATATGCACAAAAAGAGGCCTGAACGAGGTGTATGTCACTTCCCATGCAAAAGTTGTTATCTATAAACTCAAACTCAATGGTAGAATGTGTGCATCTGTACAAAAGCTCTGACCTATGCATACAAACATTTTGAGACAAGGGAAGGTAAACCAGTCTAGGGCTGTACCCGACTCAGAATTATTTCAGTCGAATCAGATTCAGTGTGACAGCAACATTCATGTAGTATAGTAAACAAGCTAACGGTGTAAACAAAGGATTGGAAATGGGCAACATTATTTTTTTCCAACACTAGATATCAAACAAAGACTGAGGCCAGACGCATCACATCAATAGAAACCGAGGGTGCCCCTTCAGATTTGAAGGGATGATTTTTTTTTTTTTCAACCAATTTTATTTTACTTACTTTACCTTACTTATTATTTTACCATCTAGCTATGATCAGTGGTCATATTGAGTGAAATGTATTCTAAATAATCTCCTTCATCTCAGGCCCATTTAGTGGCCGTAACTTGCATAAAATACATAAATGGTAATTTACGCATTATTTATTAGGATTTAGGGGAGATTTCCTGTTAGTAGTGATCACACATGGCAACAGAGCAACCATCTTGATAATAAACGATCTTTGGCCGATCATGTGACCGCTCACAGCTTTCCCATTGGATTTTAGCCACCCGGGTCTCCCATTGGACAGCCGATCTTACCGGCTTGACATCTAGGCTTCCGGTATCGCCGGCGATGACGGCAATCTAACCTAAGGGTTAACGTTAGCCTATAATGTCTGGACTGTAACGTTTGCCTGACTAATCAGCTACTAGTAGCCTAGGGAGTATCCATGGAAGTATCAGAAAAACTTGGGACGGGATTTACTTTGGTGTATCTGTGTTTTAACGTTAGGCCACCTAACAAGATGGGTGAGTGTGTATGATTGTGTCCTTTTTTATTGCCTTGGCACGCCGTTGCCAATAACATTGGCTATCGTTATCTACGTCACGTTACGTTTTGCTGTCAGTAGTGGGAACCGGCCTGGGTTCACATTTGTGTGTATTAACGTTAGTGTGTAGCCAAATATTTTATGCAATACAATAAGCTTAACTATGTTTGCAATATTTTCCTAGCTGCTAGGGTTTGTTTGAGAAAAACTCCTTTCCTCCTTACACAAAATAGTTTACATGGCAAGGTGTAGATGCGCACTGACTAGAAACAAAAAAAAAAATTCTACAAATTTCTGAACCCATGAATGAAATATTGGAGGTTTTCTTTTACATGTATCTCTGCACCTACACCAAACAGCGTTTCTTTATAAGCAACAAGCAGCATCTCCTATCTTCCCACCAGCTGAAATCACCACTGCTGCCAGTTTGACACCTGCTGGTAAGGACTGTCGAGCACCGGACTGTCTATGTAACCTACATTGTGATCTGTGACTCATCATACTGGAGTGTATCTTACTTGTGTGTATGTTGGTGTTTTTATGTGCCATCAAGGAGCTAAAGCCCATTTTGATCAGCTGTGTTTCTGGTTTAAATCAAAAACACACAACCAAACATCCTCCTACAGTGACTCAGAATACATAAAGCAATAGAAAATTACTCTATAATTAATTGTAATTTATTATTAATTAAGAATTAATTACAGGGTGGTTCACTCCCACATCACTTGACAATTTCATCAGTAGTAAATTTCTGGGTGACAATAGTGCGGCATAATGGGTGCAAACACATTGTCACAAGCCTTGATTCTCTTAAGGAAGACACAGTAATCACTGCGCTTTGGCCCAGTGAGCACTGAGACCAGCATAATGGGTGCAAACACATTGTCACAAGCCTTGATTCTCTTAAGGAAGACACAATAATCACTGCGCTTTGGCCCAGTAAGCACTGAGACCAGCATGATGACCGAGGCAGTCTGGATGTAAACATTATGGTCTCTTATTATTCTCCAAGCATCCTCAGCTTCAGCATTCTGTAATGCTATGTCATGATGGTTCCCACCTGTAGTGTGTCCTTAAACTGCACTGACCCTGAGGAATCTCACTCTCACTTTAATGTAACAGAGCTCAGAGTGACAGGCAAACATACACACACACACACACACACACACACACACACACAAGCTGCTGCATATACCTGACTGCCCCCAAAACACAGGATGCATGGTGGAGATGGTGATGGTGGGTGAGGGAGGGGTGCAAGAGATTGTGTTGTGATCAATAAAATAACATAATTATTCCACTTTAATGTTCTAAACAATTTAGAACACAGCAATTTAGTCGTTTGCTGGAGATGAATGGGATAACGCCACACACACACCACCAGAACCCCAGCATTGTCAAGGCCTAATCGATCATGCACCGAATACACGAAAACGCAGTGTAATACTAGGCTGTTGTAGTGCTGCTGTATAATGTAGCGAGTCAGATACAGGTTAGTCAGGGTTTAGGTGAGGATACCGTCGATCCAGTTTAATTCCGTTACTCACCCTTCAGTTGGTTCCCATATGGGAGCTGTGCAGTCTGCCCTGTCAGCCCAGGCTGCTGGTAAACACACGGGATAATCTGATCGCATACTAAGGCCAGATAAGCCGGGAGAATCGTCTGATGTCGGTGTCCTGTGAAAAGCCTCCGTGCAGCCGTGTGACGGTGGATGTGGCGCCGCGCATCCTCCAGACTCCTCCGGCTCTGCGTCCTATTGTCTCCGCATTGCTCTGTCCTCTAGGATGGGAGGAGGGAAACAACACCAGTAGTAAGGTGAGGAGGGGGAAGAAAAACCCTCCCCTCGTCTCTGCTCTGGCCAATCGCAGCGCTGCTCCGCAGGGAGCCGCCGCTGCTCGCTGTCTCCATACAGACTATGCATTCAGGGGCAGTCGGAAATATCAAAGGGATGCAGAGGCGTCAGTTCATTAAGTGCTACACGGTACAGGTCTGCTTTTGAAGCCCTTATCAACCACAACTGCCTTAGTTATTTTTTCTCCGACTCCGGCTGCTGCAAGAGGTAGCAAAACATCCTTTCTTTGCATAATTACAGTTTATTAAGTAATTAAACTCACCTCAATATGAACAGTGGCTTCTGCCTCATAACCAGCCACAGCTCAGCCCTGAGCAGAGTGACCATCCGCTACTTACCAATCAACAGACTGGAGTGTTCACAGCTCCACCTTTTAGTACCAGAGCTGTGTGCTAGGTACTCAAACAGAAGGGGTACCAAAAATGGTAACGGTTAGGAACAGTTCCATCAGTACCATCCACAACTTTTCGTAGTGCAAACGGAAAAAAAGCGCACCGAACTAAACTGTACCGTACTGTAATGCTCGGTGGAAATGGGACTTAAGGCAATAAATTTCAACTTCCACCTTTGACAGCATAACAGTTTAGCCTCCAGCTTTTATAGCAATGTCTTTCAGCCCTTAGCATCTTTAGCACATTGGTGAGTTTGGTCAATGAGTGTTGTAATTTGAGAAAGTTTACTATAGCTGGTGGGTGATGCTTCATTTCAGCTCGACTGTTTTCAACATGGAGGCCAGGTCACAAACTTTCTCATTTTACAGCTTAACAGTACAATGAAATTTTTTTCTGAAAACATCTGGGATGCAAAATAGGCAATGCAGTAGCATTATCTTAATTTATATTTGATCACCGCTGTCTAGTTTGACAGTTTGACCGCAGTCCACAAGCAGTGACTTACCTGATTGACAGGTGTTCTCTCTGAAAATGGCCTGTAATTGGCCAAAATCTCGTCACTAAGTGAAGTTGTTTGATTTTCACTTTAATGCTGTTGTCAGTCAGCTCTGAATAGACTTTAGCTAAATTGTCATGGTGGTACAGGAACCTGATCAACAACATCACAGAGTGTACCAAGGCCTGCATTAACAAAGTGGCAGATTTTCAGTCTAAAGCTCAGTCGTGACACACAGCTGACAGAGCCCACAGATCAACAGAAACAAAGATCTGCGACAAGGACAGATGTCTGGAGAATCAGGTCCATCCATTTTCCAAAGTTGCCCTTTCACACATGTAGTAACAACAGTGCGTTCTCACCTACTGGAATAATCCATTTGGTTTAGGCAAGAGTTGCAGGAGGCATGCTACTATGCAAAAATTATGCTACAGTTGTAATTTAGTATTATTAAAATTTTTACCACAAAAAATCCTTTTATTTTATGAGAAATAACCGGAAGTCTACTTCCATCAACACTAGCTTATCAGCAGAGCATTCAAGCACAGTCAAAAGAATTCAGCTTAGCTGGTGTATCCAGCTCCAGCTGCATGTGTAAAATATAGCAGCCGTGGATGAGAGGGGAATTGAATACTGAAAGTCAAAGACATATTTAATTTTAATTTGTTTACTTATAAACAAAGTTAAATTTACTTTATTCCCAAACATGGGCAGCAACTCCTGCAGCCACCTCTAAATCTCTTATCAAATCTACCCATAACTTCTCCCTCTCCAGTGACAGTTGCACTGAGCTCTCCTCCCCCATGTCCGTAACCTTGGTGTCATCTTTGATTAAACCCTCTCCTTTGACCAACACATCACCAGAACTGCCTTCTTTAATCTCAGGAACATTGCCCGCCTCCATCCATCCCTCTCCTTTTCAGCTGCAGGGACTCTCATCCACGCGTTCATCACTTCCAGACTAGAGTACTAGAGTACAAGCAAATTCAGGATCTCCTCACGTGGCAGCCGGTATTTGGACAGGATGGCACTGTCTGAGAGGACATCAAGCGGACTTAAGTTTGTCCTTATAAAATGATTAACATGAACCAAATGGCTACGTGGATGGTAGGGTTGGGCAATAATACGGTAAACGCGGTATCTAAAAATAGCAACGGTATCAGTTTCATTACTGTCATTAAAAAAATCTGCTGCCCATATAGGCCTATAGGGGCCTGATATAACATTAAATATAATTTATTTAATGCCTAAATAATGAGGGCTTGTCCAGCACCTATGTATGTGTGGTTGAGTTTTCAATTTAATACTGTTACAATTTAAAACTAATAGTAGGCTATAATGTTTCTCTTATAACTGCCCTTAACTGTTGTCGGGAGATGACATTTGATAAAGTTTTTGGATGTGACATCGTCACGTGACAGCTTGGATGTGAGAAAGAGAAGAAAAGATGGCAAGCCGCGCATCAAGTGAGTTGGTTGCAAAAAAAAACAACTTCACAACTTCTGCAAGCAGCAGCAGCAGCAGGTCCAGTGGCCATTGGAGTGGAGGAGGGAAAAGCGAACACGAACCACCGAAAAACATGACTCTGGGCAGTCTCCTTCAAAGAAGAGCCGATGCGGTGGCAGGTCCAGTCGGCACCATACAGGAGCGAGCAGGAGCAGAGATAACGGCCTGTTGTCGCGAGCCTGTTATTCAGGGAGACGAAGACCCATTCTCTGGTGGAAATGTGATGGAGCCAGGCGTTTGCCTCTGATGTCAAGGGCTGCTAGAAAGTACCAGTGGGTTTGTGCCACAAGCTCTCCATCAGAGAGGGTGTTCAGCACCGCGGCCAAAGTTGTCAATCCGCTATGTGCCCTTCTCCAGCTGGAAAAAGTATACATGCTGGTGTTTCTGGCGAAAAACCTTGAATAGTTTTGATGCTGCTATACTGTAGTTATCATTATACTTTGTTATATGTCATTTTCAATGAGGAGTAGCCTGTTCTGACGGACAAAACAGTTGGGACTTGGAGAGGGTGAACTTTTCAAACTAAAGGTAGGCTCTAAAAATAAACCAGCGAACAGTATTTCCCGTTGCTTCTCAGGATAGGATTATATATGCCCATTTTCGGTTATGCCTTGTTAATTATTGTTCTGTTTTTCTTATTTGATAAGCCCTGGTACTGGATGTTGTAGAGCTGTGCTTTTAATTTATTTATGTTGATAGGTTCTAAAAATAAACTAGCGGACTCTACCCGTTGCGGTCTGAGGATACGCTGTATAGCACACATTATCGTTACTGCCGTTGTTATTTATTGTTACTTTTCTGGAAGTGAACTGTAGCCCACAGACCATTTGTTGTTATTTCATTCTGTTTGGTTGACTGCTGCATTTGCACTTTTTTAAATATTTATTAATAAAAGTTGTTAATGTTGTACATGTTTTGTTGTTATTTTTTGGTATTCTTAGGCCTATGTAATGTTTGCTATTCTGTTTCTGAACGGTATAGGCACAAGCTGACATTTTGAAAAATGTGGGGAAGGTTTAACGGTAACAAAATTTGGATACCGCCTGTCACGGGGATGCCTCGTGACCTCTAATGGTAAAACAGAAACACACACAATGCTTGTCCACTTCCAGTCACTTTCACACACCATCTAGCCGACAGGTGTCTGGGGTTGGTAATTAGCACAATTAAGGTTGAGACCTGGTAGTTGTAGTTGTTTTTGGTGCTTCAGTGTCACAGGCACATTTACATGAAGTCAGGAAGAAAAGTCTGACAATATTGTGGTTTTAAATCTCTTTATTTGACTAATTCTTTTGTGTATCTCACCTCTCCTCTAGACTGCACTTGGCCAACCTCTGGTTTGGACTCAGGAACTGCCAAACCAGTTCCCGCCCATTTGGATCCTTTTTATAGTCAAGTTCCTGGGGGAATGTGCCAAGTGTAGTATGGATGAGGGGGAGTTTTGGGAGATATTTGTGCAAGTGTTGATTTTGAGCAGTTTAACAACATTTTTACTCTTTTGAAGTGTGTAGCAATGTTTTTTCACTGTTAACTTATGAAAGTAGTCTGAAGAGTATGAATTAATCACTGCTGATTGTTGATTGATTTATTAATTGTATTTCCCATGTGTAGGAGGAGCTACTGTCTATATAGGCAGGAGTTGGAACCTTCTCTCAAGTCACTGAGATCTGTCTAGCAAGCCGGCCACAGCAGCTGTTACTGCCAGGGGCCCAAACTAAAAGGGGGCATAACCCGGGGTAGAGTTGATTTTCAGTTTGTGATCTTTAATTAGTTTTGTTTTTCTCAGTTAGCAAATTTTCTCACTTATTTTTTCATTTATTTTCTTTAGTTTTAGTTTTTCTTCAGTTTTGGCCAGCTGATCTGCACTGTACATATTGCTGCACACAACCCACTGCTGGAAAAGAAAAGGGGAAATAAAAAAAATGGGACTGTTGAACAGTTTGAAGTCCTCTTCCTTTTGCCTTCACCGCTCGACCAACCTTACACCGCCCAACTCTAGTGGATGGCGACGCCTTCTGTTCAGTTGATTGAGCTACACCAATACGCTGTAATGCAGCCATAATCTTGTCTACAATGAAGCAAGCAGAGGTGACACGCTTGATTGCCTATATAGCTGGTGCCGCCCACTTGATTAGTTTCCAGCCGGCCTCAATAGAGTTCAATTTGATCAATTTGTCAAGTATCTGTCAGATATTCAGTATAGTGGTAGGGTACAGCCTGTAGCCACATCAGAAAAAACATATCCTCAGTTAGTTAGCTCCATTAAATGAATGAATAAATAAACCTATATATTCATAATATTCAATATTCATTATTATTGTTAATGAAGTTAACTTTAAACTAATGATGTAATTTGCACAAGGAGTCTAGATGTGAATTATACTGCAACTGTCCATTTTAAAAGCATAATTTTGGCCTAATAAAGCTAAAACTGTGACAGGATGAACAGAGCGCATCACAAGGGACAGCTTACGAGTGGTTCAGACCAAGTGATTGTGATTGTGAATCAGTTTCACCTGCTTTGGTGCAAATGAAAGTGACAACA